TCAATAAAAGTTATCAAACTTGAAAATGTTATTATTAGGTTTTTTTATATTTTAATTTTAAAGCTATGCATGAATATTTTTAAATTGTGATATTTTACATACTCGTATTTCACTTTAAAAAAATGGACGTAAAAAACAGATAATGGTCTTATCTTTAAGTTTTAAAAGTAGATTAATCAGCTCTATTATTGAAAGTTACAATTCACAATTGGAACTGCTTGAACGCCTATTAATTGATATGTTGTACTTTAGTATGACAAACTCAACTCATGTGGGTTCGTTGTCATCTTTATGAATTAAAATTGTTTGAGAAAAAATTAAATTCAAATAATTTATGTTCTACTATTTTGATTGGCAATATGATCTTATATATAATTTAAATGGTCTTGAAATAGTGATGTTGTTATTTAATGTCATGTGGTTATTAGTACTGTAGTACATAGATTACTAATAAACCATAGACTGATAAGATTTATTCATTCAACTGTTTCATTTATTTTTCATGCATAACTAATTCATCAAAATATTGTGATAATATCAGAATGTTCTTTTATGTTTAAAAAATGGCCGACAGGATTTTCCTTTTGTCAATGATTTCTAATATTGTCTTGTGAGAGTAAGAAAGGGATAGCAATTTTAGTTGCTAGAGAGCACTAAATTATTAAATACGACACTCATAGATTCTTATAGCAAATTATTTTATAATTTTAACTTCAACTTTGAGACTTGCTTATTATATGCTTTAATAAAATATTTTATTAATTATTAAAACCAAGGATATCGTTAAGTATGTGTTTTTTAGGTTGATATTATTTTATTTTAGATACCTTCAAACCCAAATATGAATTCTTTGGTTACACTAATTGTTGATGAAAAAACTTCACACCTCAGAGAACTTGTGGTTAATCAAAAATCTAAAAAACAACGTTCCAGAAGAAATAATTCTTCTGGAAGAGGTGGTAATAATTACATGTATAAGTCTTCCAATTTTAAATCTCGTGATTACAATTACAATACCCATATAACTGAGAATAACTCATCTATGTATGAATATACAGCTCCAAGATGTGATAATAGCATTCATAACAGTAGTCGAGGATATGAATATGGCTCTCATAGGTATGATAACAGTGCTCGTGGATATGATCATGTTAAAATCAAACCTCTCTCAAAAACTCCTGGTACTGTAACACCAAACCTCAGAAGTTTTATAGAAAATCTGTGCAATACTTCTGGTTCAGAAGTAAGTGTTATAGTTTTATTCACAACATTGGTCATTATTATTATTTTTATTGATTTTTAGAAGATAACTATTAATAAACTAAAGACTTGTCTAATAAATCATCCAGATTATAATAAATTGGGTACAACTAATATCGAAGAATCCATAAACATGTTAAAATATTTTATCTACATTGATAAAGGAGGTGTACACCTTAAAGGTAATAATCTAAATAGTATATTTAATATATATTTTATACATTTATGTTTATTAGCTTGTAGCTTGTTTACATATAGTAAGACTGTTTGAATGTTGTAAATATCAAAATAATACAGAGTATATTATATTATATATTATAAGTTCATCACAATCATAATGAAATATGACTATATTAGTCTTTATTTTATCTTATATAACTTATAATTTATGATATTTTTACATTATTTTGTAACGTTGTGTTGACTTATTAATTATTACTGTCTGATTATTATTTTCTTACTTTCTAAGATTCAATTGCTTTAATCATTCAACCAGTTGTGATCTATAAATAATAATAAAATTTGACAGTTGATAGATCCATGAATGGATAGTGACTATTTATTTTGTCGTGTATTTTTTATTAATTTGCAACATATGTTTATTATTATGTATTGTTCTAAAAAGTTTATTTTCACCTAAATCAACTGTTAAATTTTTCTTTGTAATATAGAGCTTAAAAATGAAATATAAATATTTTGGTAGTTAAGATATAATTTTTTTTAATATGAATACTATTTATTTTTTGTTTGAATTTAAGATTCTCCGCATGAAATATTTCCATCTAAAACATCTAATAAAAGCAAGTGCACAATACCGACATCTTCGAATTACCTAAGTAGTATTGTTAATGAAAGCGAAGAAATTTCATATAGTGAGTTAAATGATGATGACTATGATGAGATGGATGATTCAAGTTTTGGAAACCTTAAAGTATATGGTAGGTTTACTTACTTAAAATATATATTATACATATTAATATGAGATTATATATAAATATATTATATATCTTAACCACTGTTAATAACCCAATGTTACTAGGTAATTAATTGCTTTTGAACCTTGCCACGAGTAATCCCTTGGTTATGATCAAAGCTCGTGAATTCATGCATTTGCATATCAATCTTGTTAAATTGTATTTAATGCTAGGTGACATAGTAATATAATTCAAGTTACCGTGGTGAAGTGTGTAAAGTTTTATTTTGCATATTTAGAGACTTTTTACTATTTGGCATATTTATTAGTTTTTCTATTTTATTGTGCATATTTAGTGTATTTTTACCAATATTTGATGAAAATTCAATGACTTATATTTTGATAAAATTAGTGTAGCATATTTTTTTTTTTTCGAATGAAGATTGTCAAATCAAAATCTAGAGCTTGGTTAACTGATGTTCATTAAGAAAGCTCTTTAAAGATTGCATTGTCTTAGATACAACCAGGTATAGAAAAATTTTTCAGTGTAAAACAATGTCAGTTATTACACTATAATTTTATATTATTATTCTTAATTCATTAAGAGGATGTCGCACCTGCATGTGTTGTCTCCGTTTTATATACATACTACATAACAAATTTTTGTTCATTATTTTCATTAGTGTGCTGTTGATTTTATTATTAGAGTGAATTACCTATTATCGAACTTTTAGGTAAGAAAATTAACTATGTTCTCTTGTTGGTTTTTATGATATTTTAATTGTTAAATGAGTTTCAATTTTGAAAAGTATGATTGTTTTTAAATGCACATAACTTATATAAAAATTAAAATATCATAAAAAACCAACGAGAGAACACAGATAATGTTCTTATCTAAAAATTTGATAGTCGGTCAATTCACTCTAATATTAAAAATAACAACACACTATTTAAACTAGTGAAAAAAAATTGCTATTTAGTACGTGTGTAAGACGGAGACAACACATGCAGGTGCGACATCCTCTTAGTACTTGATATTAGTATGTTGGGCTGTTGTATAACATATTTTGATATTGATTATGCAAACCCATGCTCATGTTATATGTTCATTGTCATAGAGAGGGAACTGGAATTTATACACTATTTGTTACAAGGAATTAAGATTTTCTATACTACAGTGCACAGTATCACACGTTATATTTACGCCTAATTTTTGGATTATTCTTATTTCCATTAACTGCTATTGTGCGATTTGAGTGTTTAGATTTATACATGTTTCTATAATTTTATAAACTTATTTATAAAATAATATCTTAATTAAATATTTTATTGAACAATAAATTACTAGTGTGGGGCTTACAGGTTACTGGTGATATAATAAACAATATTATTCTGTCAATGTCAATACAAATCTAATTTGTAAAAAAAAATATGTGGCCTGTCGTGTCTATGTTATATATATACAGTTTAATTTTCAAATTTTTATTTTTTCAGATTTTTATCATTTTTTTTTTTTGAAGTGTCGGTTTGGATGACCAAAAAAACTTGAAAATTTAATACAAGGTTCCTTATGAGTTGTTATTATTGTAGCTAAAAAAAATTAAAAATCGTTAGTCACAATTTTTTTTTATAAGCGTTTATAGTTCAAATTTTGACTAAATACGTAAAAATTATG